GTTGATTTCAATGGATCCTGATAGACAATATTACCATCACTGGCTCGTAAGGTGTTGTTGTTGTTGTGGTTGTTGTTGTGGTTGTTTGTGTGTTTGCGGTTTGGTGATTGTTTAATTTTATCTTTGGAGGTTGAAGTTGATGATGATGATGATGTTTTATGTTTCGATGAATTTTGTGATTGACCATATGAGATGTTATTTTCACCTAGATAATTAATATTATTTGAACTAATTCCACCAATACTATTACGATTAGATGATGAGGTTGTTGTATTGGTTGAGGTATTTCGTCGAACTGGATAATCACGTTGATTGTTGTATTCATTTAGAGACACTCGAGAGGAACTCATTGGTATTAATGTTGAATTGTTGTTTAGATATTTTCGTTGGTAGGAAAATTGTTGATTTGAATAATTGTTGTTGTTGGTATTGGTCATTGTTGATGTTGTTGTTGATGAAACTGGATCATAAATATCAGGTGTAAATACATCATTTTCTAGACTTAAATCTCTTAGATTAACATTTTCCAGCCAAACTGATGAACTTGAACTGGATGAAAGTGATGATGATGAATCAATTTCTTGCGATGTTGATACAGTTTTGTTGTTGATAGATGTTGATGGTGATGAAATAATTGTATTTGATTGTCGTGAGATTGATTTTATTGGTGATGAAGTTGATGATGTTGACGTTATCGTCGGATCGTTAATATTATTGTATCGCCTGTTGTTGTTGGTTGCCAATGTTACTATTGTTGATGGTATTGTTGATGATGATGTTGATGCTGTTGTTGATAGGGAGACGTTACCTTTACCTAGGAGAAAACGTCCAAAGTGAATGTTGTTACACTCTTCCGGGTGAATATCAAAATCTTGATTGTTACGTTTATCACTTGCCGATACAATAAATATGTCTTGATTGCTGAAAAAATCTTTCAATTTGGTTACCTTTTTACCATTTAAGTGATAAACGCGTCTTATTGGGGTAAACAAGGTTTTACTTTTGGCTTGAATATCGGTGAGTAGTTGATCGTAGGAGTGAACTGATCGTTTGTTGAGTAACAATTTAATCACTTCTCGAGGTTTAGGACCATTAATAATTATATTAACCAATTTGGGTCGGATAAATTCATTTGTTGGCGACCCTGATGATTGTTGATTATGAGGATTAAATGGTGATGAAGCCATTGTTTTGATTCGTTGATCAGCAGCCGTACAAGAAGTTGATTTAGATAATTGGTTAAATCCTCCAATTCCTCCACCAGCAGGACAATCAAAACCTTGACTGATTGAACCATAATCCAAATCAATAAAGTTATCATTAGATGAGCAAATATAAATATGATTATCTTTAAACTCATCCAGTGATTCCAATTTGTTTCGAGATAATTTATCATCCATTGAATAAGAGTAAATATATTGAACTCCTTTAGGTAGATTAACGTCTTTAATTAATCTATTTAAATCTTCTAATAGAACATCAAAACAACGAATCCTTTCGGTACACAGACAATAACGAATCCCACGGAAAAATCGATTCCCATTGATCATAAATTTAAGACGTTTGCCTTTTCTCTCAATACTTAATAACTCAATTCTTTTCGCTCGATTATTATTAGAAACGGAAGTTGATTCACTTTTAGAAATTGGTGTCAACTGATTATTTGAACTTGTTGAATGTTCCAATGAGGAATCTTCAGTCTCTCTATCAGCTTCAATCAAAGTTTTCATGGTTGTACAGGGGAGCTTTTTTCTTCTCTCTCTCTCTCTCTATCTCTCACTCACTCTATTTGAACAGGTTAGTATTTGAAGGTGATGATGATGATGATGATGACGAGATAAATACTAGTGTTGCTAAGAATAAGCAATTGATGAAATTAATTAAAAGGCGAGATGAGAAAAGGCAATGTATTAATTATCCACTGATTTTAGCCACTTTACAGGAAGGAAAAAGTGAAATGGGATAAATAAGATTTCAAGTCTTAAGATGATGACGAAGCTAAAAAAGAGATGAGAAAATATTGGTGAAAATCACTGATTATCACTTGATTGAAATGTCAATTGATCTAATTTTATGGTTAAATACAATTGAGAACGATGTAGAAATTTAGAGAAGTGCACTGGATTGGTAATTTATATTGACACAAATAGACACACAGAAAGATGTTGTTGTTGTTGATGACGATGATAAAATATACACAGAGAGAGAGTGTGTGAGTTGGTGAAGTTGTTGGGTAGATTGATAAATCTGGTGGTTTGTCTTTGTTTTAACACAATTTGTTTATATTCACAGAATCAAATCAACGCACAATCCAATTGTACGGTTACCATTACCAAGGACAACATTCCTACACATATAAATATAAATACATTTATATATATATATGAATACCACACAGATTAAATGAGCTCCATAGATACGAGAGTTTATAAAATGAACCAAGAAAATAAAATAAACATCAACCTCCAATGTCTTTGGAAAGCTTTTCACTGGATTTTGTTAATTTCTTATTCTTTTTTTATCCTTTCAGATTTTCCATGATATTCACCACATGATGATTATTCCTTAATCTTTATCAACTCATCATATTTTATCTGGTTCCATGGTGGTTGTAATGTTCCCTTCACTTTAACGTTATCATAGTTTTCCATCAACACCATTTAGCTTTTTTCTTTTCTTTACTTTTGGTTATTTTTTTCTTCTTCTCTTCTCAATGTTTCTTTTACCGGTTTTTTCTCTTTCTTTTCCTTTAGTATTTAACAAGTTCCTCTGTAAATTGTTGTTGTTGTTTTCTCTTATAGAATCCAAAGACCGCCTAAAAAAGACCAAAGTCTTTGATCGAGTTGTTGGTGTGTATCCACCAAAGAACAGGAAAAAAAAAGGATGAGTGAGTTGGTTGGAGAAAAGAGTGTGTGAGTGTCTCTTTTCAGATGAATGTTTATTATCCACTTTCACTTAGAAAATTGGGAGAAGAAAATGATTAACTCTAAAAGAGAGAAAGAAAAAGAAAAAGAATAATCAGTTAATTAATTTCACGTTGAGAATTCAAACTGAGAATAGAATAGAGAAAAAGAAGAAAACAAAAAGTGATGAATAAAAAAAGGAAGATGATTAAGAGATGAACACATAATACAGAAAATACAACAAACAGGTTACCTGAAGATCTTAATGACCGGTAAATAGCATGGTAACAACATCCAAAAGCTGAAATATACAAATAGAGAAGAGAAAAAAATTGATTAGAGAAACAAATTAAACAGAATCAACAACAATTAAATAACAGTTATAATGTTACGTTGATAAGATTGTGGTGATAATAGATTAGTGATCATATGTTGATGTTAATAAACAGTAATAAAAGATCAAGAGGAAGAGAAGGAGAGAGAAGGGGAGAGAGAGAGAGAGAGAGTATGAAGATTATAACAGGAAATCAAAATGAGAAACAAGATTAAAGGTTAATTATTGAAGATCTTTAAGAACACTAATGATGTTGAGACTAATCTGTATTGTGAATTTGGAAACAACAACAATGAGAATACAAATATAATCAGACAGATGAGTTTATGTCTTTTCAAGAGAAAAGAACAGAAGAAAAGAGAGAGAGAGAACAAAAAATATTCTCTTTAGAAGGATAAGGACATCGCTCTCTTTTCTCTATCTTCTTCTTCTTCAGGCTTAAGCATGATGATGATGATGATCTTCACCATTTCTCTCTCTCTCTCTCCTTTATCATCAACAAATCCAAATGTTGATGATATTTTAATGGTTCCATATACAAATAAATCTCATCATGTTACTATAAACATGCAAGTAAAAGCTGGACACAATTAATTAAATTATTATTACACTCAGGTAGGTAGAAGAAGATGAAGATGATGAAGATGATGATGAGTCGTGTATCTTTTTCTTCATCATCAGTGTTGCTTGATGATGATGTTTGTAAGTTTGTTTTCGCATTGTTATTGTGACCCTTAGGGTCGGAAAAGAAAAAGAAAATAAAAGATATTCTTATATTTCCATTTTCTTTCAAACAATTTGATGGCCCAATTTTAGTAATAAACTCTCACCATCATAATCATCATCTTATTATCAACAATAAGAAAAAAGAGAAGATGATTCTCACTCTATAATTATATGATAATCAAATTGAAATGAATAAATTGTTCCAATAAAACACCATGAAAATCATGAATAACTTAGAGAGAGAGAGAGGAAACAATAATCTCAATGGTAACATCACATAGTAGAATCATGAAAACGGTAACACAACAGTTTGAGGTTTAAATTAACATTTTTTCATCTAAATGATGATGAAGATGATGAAAGAATAGAATTGTGATAAAAAAAAGTGAATCAACACCAACAGATTCTCAATTTAGATTCATCATAATTTGGCTAAAATCCACAAGAAGAGACAATCAGGTTAACACATACACCAAATGGAGAGAAGAAGAAAACAATTGATGTTGTTAATTTTGGTAGAAAAAGAAAATTGTATTCCTTTTTCTATATCAACAATTAATCTTCATACACTAATCATGTAGACACATTATCGGCTTAAAACCATAATAACAATTTAAGGTGATTTAACAGATTATAGAATCGGTTTGATTGGATTTCCTTTCTCTCTCGGATTGTTTTCCTCCATCAAATTGTGTTGATTGTATTTTGCTTCATGTCAATTTAATGATCTTGTGAACATCATAATCATCAACATGATCGTGTTACCGTTAGATTTACAGTACAATAACCAACACAATTTGAATAACAGGTAATCACAAACGTATAATAACTTATATTTAGCAAGAAATTCACAAATTAATCTTTACTATTACAATTAATTGAAAGCCCGGCAGGTTAATCAAGGTTCCAGCTTTTGGGAATCTACTCTTGTATTAATATCACCATTTAGTTTAACATCAACATAAACATGAAAACAGAATTTGGGGAGAAATAAAAAAACACGTTAATTAACTAACCATTTTTAAAGTGTTGATCGATGTTTAATTGATTGTGATAGAGAGGAAAAGGTGAAGATGATGAATTAAAGTGATGAAGATAAAAAAAGGTCATCCATTTGTGTTTTGCTTGTGAGCAATTGCTTGTTACTGGTTTGTTGTTGTTTCTTGTTCAGGGTTATAAATATGAGGAGATATTTTTGTTTATTGTTTTGTTGATTCAGTTAATTGGTTGATTTTTAATCGTATTGGAGATTGATGATCATGTTAATCAATTTCCAGGATAATTAAGGTAAAGATGAGATTCACAATTACAAGAAGAAGAATATTATAAAAAGACTTTGAGGTAAATAAGAGAAAGAGAAAAAAATAGATGACATTTTTATCTTTCTTTCTACTCTCTTTTCTACATTATGAGAGATTCGGGAAGAAAAAGAAACAGCTCACTCGGTTTAGTCTCTTTTCTTTATCTTCTCTTTCTTTTTTTCTCTTTCTATTTTGTTTCTTCTTCTTCTTCTTCTTCTTCATGAGTTCACAATTCAAATGAATAGAGTTTCAAATACTCTTTTGGGATTGGTAATCAATCGTAACAATCGATGATTAATTGAGTTTTCTTATTATGAATAATTGTGTTTATTATTTTCTGATGAAAATGATGAAACATTTTGGTGTTAAATTGGGAAAGGAAAAAATTACATTTGTTTTTTTTTTGCTTTTTCGAGTTTGAATGTTGTTGTTGTTGTTGTGGTGGTGGTGACGATTTAAACAACGATACGAGGAGCGATTTGCATTGACATTAATTCTTGAAATAAAAGTTTACAAGCATAAGGTAGTCTGACTTGAGAGATTTGAGTTTTGTTGCGACAATTTTTACATTCGAATGTATTGTTACGGAGATTAGCGATACAGATTAGGCCACATAAGTTGCATACGTGAACTCGATATGGATCGGAAACCTCGAAAAGACGTTCTCTCAAAAATTGAGCTGCTCCATGAGCGATTTGACAATCACGTTCCATTTCACCGAAACGTAAACCTCCATCTCTTGCACGACCTTCCATCGGTTGTCGTACTAAAATTTGAACAGGACCTCGAGCTCGGGAATGAATCTTATCGTCTACCATGTGTTTAAGACGCTGATAATAAGTTGGTCCTAAGAAAATTTGAGCATTTACTTTACGACCAGTATAACCATTAAACATCACTTCGTAACCTCTTAAATGATATTATCATTATGATAACCATCCCAATATTCCCAAAGAGTAAAAACCAAGAGAGAGATGGAAAAACTATGAGGTAACATTCCTTTGGTGTCGCGAGATGGAGCCACTAGTACAGTGGTCACACTTATCGCAATTTTTTTTTGAAAGCCGCCACCTAGTGTTTCGTAGTTATTTAGGTAAATCTCTCACAGTTGGTGTGCTAATTAGAGATGAGTAAAGGGTTAACATCAAGCCCCTTGTCTAAATAACACACTGATCTTGCGATAAGTTTGATGACCACTGTAGATTTGTGTTCTGCATTGACTGACATTGGCTCCATCTCGCGACAAACTGAGCGGTTAGTTCAGTGCCCTACGGGCCTCCAAGTAACACTGAACTTAATGTATATAACATTAGCCACTGTTTAATAGCCAATAGTTTTTCTGTGCTGTCTCTATCTCCACTCTTTGCATATTCCTAAGAGAACAAAACAAAACAAAAATTATAAAATCATCTCTTGATGGAAAATGGAGACAAAATAAAATCTACACTTACGGCAAGAAGCTCGGAAATTTTTTGGACATTTACTGTATCGTTGAAAGGAGTTGCATCACCAATTTCCCCTTTGTTGGCTGATACTTTTCCTTGGAGACATTCAATCAAGTGACCAATGGTCATACGAGATGGAATAGCGTGAGGATTGATAATAATATCTGGTGTAATACCTTCACAAGTGAAAGGCATATCTTCTTGCCTGGAAAATAAATAATAAATTAGATTAGAATTGATTTTTTCTCAAATTGATCAACATTAAATTGTTCGTTATTTTTACCTGTAAGGAATACCACAAGTTCCCTTTTGTCCGTGACGAGAGGCAAATTTGTCACCAATTTGTGGTATTCTAACTGATCGTACTCTTATTTTACAAAATTTGTAACCATCATTGTTAATTGTGATCATCACTTGATCAACAATACCGGTTTCACTATTACGAAGGAAAGTTGATGCATCTCTTTTAACAAACTTTTTGGTCGTTGCTTCGAGTTCATCTTCGTTTTCAGGTAATAAAACTGTTTTACCGATAATAACATCGTCACCTGACACTCTGCTACCTGGGGCAATTATATGTTTACTAAATATATAATAAATAATAATATATATTATATTATTCGAGCCATCGCCAGACTGGGTAGCATGCGAATCCTTGATTGTATTCCTCAGGTATGAAAGATATTCAATGGACGATAATGAAATCCTTTCAAATGACCTTGAAAAACGTTCTTTCACCAATAACTTAAATGATCGTCATTTATATTGCAGGTCAATGTCGATGTGCTTTAATTACGAGGGTTTAGTTTTGAGATTCACGATCAACCAGGCAAGCAAATTGTTCCTGAAAATCAAGATGCTACCTAGAGAAATCACAACCAAATCAATTAATCTTTCCAGTGAGATTGTAAATCATCAATTATTATTATTAACTAAGGAAAAGATGTTAATGAAAAGCCAAAAATTACTAAATTGTCTTGGTAAACAATAAAATTAAAAAGATTGTAATTTGCTTCCGATTAACCCAATTTCATTTCTTTTTCCTAATATTTAAGTTAATCTCTCATCCATGATGACGATGATGACGATGAGCAATCTAATTACTCTGGAAAGAAATTTAATAATAAGATAATGTTTAATAATAGAGAAAAGTTTGTTGGCTTGATTGTTACGGTTAAATTTAATTCCTTTGAATAATTTGTTTGTTTAAATAATAATGACAAATGATGATCATGATGATTGAAATGACATGGATGAGATTATGATGAAAGAAACTTTTTTAGGACAATTCAGGTTAATTAAATTAATATCGGGAAGAGAAAACAATTGAGATTTGTTGATTGTTTCTATACATTGTTAGGATTTAATTGTTGATTCATTTCCTTGGTTTCATGATTGCAATTGGCTCCTTGATCTTACTACATTTGTATTTGAAACATTTACCAGGATTATCCTTCCCGTAAATTGCTGCTGATTTAAGAGTTTCCTTGAATTTGATGCTCACAAATTGATTACTCAAAATGTGACTTAAAATGCTGAATGAAATGATTAACAGGAAAAATGATTAGTTAATGAGAATTTTTTTTCTTTCTCGAAACAATTAAAACATTAACTTACATCGATGTTACCGAACGATCTAAGATCGGTGCTTCTCGGTTATTTGGGTCACTAAATTCGCACCCAAGTCGTTCGAGGCAATGGTCACTCGATGATAAAAGTCCATCACATTGTAAGTAATTCGCCATCGCTTGGTCTCTATCCTTCTCGTTAAAATGAACCTTTTGAAGGAAATCAGCGACAATCTAATTGTAGGAGGAAGAGGAAACAGTTAAACGAATATTATTTCAATTGTAATTCTACTTTAACTCGTTTATTACCTTTAATTGTTGATTTGTATTTTCCATTTTACTCCAATCGTTATTGATTGCTGATGTTGTCTCATTGTCACTTTTTCCCTCTTTCATTTTGGTTATATTTTGTTTGGTTAAATCGATTAATGGAATTACATTTGGTTCCTCCATTAGAGTGAAATCACTTGTTGGAAGAGTTAAATTAAATTGTGATGATTGATCACGTTTTCGACGACGTTTTCTTCCTGCAGCGATTGTCGCTGTCACCGGGATAATCATCGGAGTGAACAGGTAACTTAACATTGGTGCTAAAACAAGGGGTAAAGTTGCTAAAAGTAGTCCACCGGGACCAAGTCCTGTTTTAACAAAGGTTAAATATGATAAGAAACAATAAGAATCATAGTAATAGGTGATCGTTCATGGGATGGGAAAAAGTTTCAAATGATTGATTGAATTACCTGTTCGTTGAGTACTTTTACTCCCAGTAATTGCTGGGGGTGCGATAAATGGCTGCTCTGAACTTGCGGCTGTGGCATGTAAGCTACTCGAGGAAGGAACTGGATTAGGTCCATAGAAATATTGACCACGAAACTCAACAATCTCTGGCCGATTAAGGTAACCATAGACGGCACTTTCTGTAGTTCGTCCAGGAGTTGATGCTGATGGATACATTGTTGAATGGCGATCACGAACTGGATAAAGAGAGAGAGAGAAAGAGAAACGATTTTAGTTAATCAGCCGATTTTTTATGTTTAAGAGTTACAATTAACACTCACAATGTTTCATCCGTTTAATTGAGCCCATTCTAGATGGTCCAGGGGCTCGACTATGGGTCACTGAATACGCAGCCACAGGGACGAAGACGCTTTTCTGTGGAGATTGACCTCGTCTCTTGCTATATCGTGATGGATATCGGTGCCAACGATTATCATCATAATCCTCAGCTGGGTCGATATAAGGTGATGTATCTTGCTGATCAGAATCGTGACTCGAATTGGCCAAGAAATCGTACATATCTGCCATTTCCCCGATTATTACAACTTTCTTCTTATTTCCCAGACTTCGACCTCCATTTACAATAATCTATTGAACGATAGATCAATAATTCAATATAAATAAAAACCAAATTGCTTCAAATCCACAAACAATTAATAATAATAAACTTACATTGATAAAATATTGCGAAAATGTAATGGACACAATTATGTAGATTTTGATTAACTTGAGATAAATTGGTTTGGTTGATTTTGCCATTACTTTATTGGCTAATTGTTGATAATAAAATTGATTTTAATCACTAAGAAAATGAATGGAAAACTATAGCAAAAAAGATTAATTAATTCTTGTAATCACTAGACTTAAATATGATGATTAACATGATTTGTCGTTGTTGTTGTTGATGTAATATCATAGTGACAATTTGGTAACAATTAACACAGAAATTGAAACATAATCTTAACCTAACCTCTTACTGATTTGATTGTAATTTGATTGCAACTTGAAAAAAAAACACTAAAACCAGAAATAAATTGGTTCCAATTGAGTTGGATTGTCTCATTGATGGTTAACAATAAGTCAACGGGGGAAATTAACAATTTAATTCTGGTTTCTTCCATTATCCACCGTCATTGTGGTGTAGCACAATTAACCCGCCTCTCTCTCTTTCCGTTAATTTGGTCAATGGTTACAACTCAATTAATTTTCATTATCATCAAAGAATCTTAATTATTACATAACAATTAATATTATTCCGATCAACTCACCTTTTGTTATCTTCCATCACCAACAATGAGAGTAACAAGATTAACCTGATAATCAAAGTGAATCAAATACTAGTGATTAGAATTAATTTAATTTACTCTTCAATCAATGATTAAATTTAGAAGAAAATTTGATAAACAATTAAATCCATATTCTGTTTACAAGTTAACTATTCTAATAGATTAATTAAGATCCAATCAATTCCTAACCAAACAATTAGCCGAATCCATTTCAATTGTTACGATAACATTTAATCAATTGTAACACTCAAGATCAGTATTAATATCAATCCTTTTGAAGGTAAAAAATCCTGATTGTTGATTTACAATTATCAAACACTCGTTGATTTAAATTTTTAACAATTTACCTTAATTGTGATAATTTAGGAAAAAAAGAGAATCAGAAAAAATTTCAATCTTTTTGTATCTTAACTTTTTTCTTGTCCTTTAAACGGTTCAGATGATTATGGTTACTTGATTCACGGACCATGAATATCATCATCATCTTCATCCCTTATCATCATTGTGTATCAGCCTCTCTCTCTCTCTCTCTCCTTGATTGTCATCATTATCATCATGACCAAGTTAACCATGTTAATCCATTCGCATTAATCCATGACCATCACAATGTTTTTTTTGCAACCAAAGATGAGAATCGTTTCTTTAAAATACTGAAAAACAATTAAGTTTAAAACTATTTTAACCTTTTCTTTTCATGACAATTATTGTACTAGAGATGATCTTGATTCTTACAATTAAACCTTCTACATCTAAATTGAGCTAATATTGCGAGAACAATTAAAAAGTGTATAATAGAAAAGTAGATTTATAATATATACAGAATATAAAGAAACGATAACATTTGAAATGATTTGTTTTTCTGCTTTCAAATTCATCAATAGGAGATGTGATGACGATAATACCCACAGAATTAATTGTCGATCTGGTTGATGATTTTTCTACCAAAATGATATTACATTTAAGTTTATCATTCACAATTATCAACATTATTTAGTGTGTGTATCATTACATATCAACTAAGACGACCTTTTTTTCCCACTTACCTTTTATCTCGTCGATTCCTATTGTTAAGGTCATCATGTTTACCGCTCACCTTTTACTGATCCTGCTGTTTTCCCGAAATCCTTCAGGCCTAACGGCTTCTCCTCCTCCTGGAATAACAGTATCTCTCTCTAATTGTGGACTCTTTTTAGATTAAGATTAAGATGATGATGATGATGAGAAAAAGAGAAAATAATTAAAACGAAACTGAGGAGAAAAAATTGTGACAATCTAAAAGGATGTAATCATATTCACCTCTTTTTTAATCAGAATTAAAGTCAATTGTTACGAAGGAGAAAAAAATGTTCAATCTAATTTTGTTTTCTTCTTCTATTTGTAAAGTAATTAACTTTAATCAACATTATCATCAGTATCATCATCTACTTTCAATCAATTCAATCAGTAAATTGTTCAATCAACTCTAATTAATCAACATCAATTTTCAACTTGTTTTCACATCATGTCAATTTTAACTCAATCATATTTACCTGATCAACTTATCAACATCGTTGCTTTTTGGAAACCTTTTAATTGTTAACAATTTAACTAAATTCTCGTGGTTCCAATGTGTTAATTATCAACTGGATTAACTTTGTAACCTTTTTAATTACAATTTTTGGGAGAAAATTTGTTTTTTTTTTCAATTCACTTTGTTGACTCTTTTCTGTTAATCCTCTTGATGGTTTTACTTATTATCGTCACTTGGGATTTAACCAATAACGATCTTAAATCTATTCTTTATTCTGGATTAACTGGATTGTAATTGTAGTTGATTAACTTTTCCAGGTATGGATTATGTTCTTCTACAATTAGGTAACCCTGGTCGTTACCAATTGTTTATTGCTTTTCTCCTTTGTTGCCTTCAAATACCAATTTCCTTCTCTGGTCACCTTTGGTCATTCTATATGGATGATGTTCCTCATCGTTGTTATATACCTTCAAATCAACGGAATGGTTCAAATGAGATTGATTGGATTCCACGAACAATTAATGAAAAACAGGTTCAACCATTTTCTCTTCTTGTGAAATTTTCATCGATCCATTTGCCCATTGGAAAGGTAATAAAAAGTGTACCACTGGTTGGGAATATCGACCCAATGAAGGTCAACATAATCCAATCATCGAATGGGATTTAGTTTGTGATCGATCTTATCTGGTAACATTACTATTTTATACCTCCCTTGGATCATCAATCATCGGTGGACTAATTGTTGGACTAATTGCCGATCGATTTGAACGTAAATCATCACTTCTATTTTCGTTGTATTTATTTGTGGCAGTCGCTTTTTCAATGCACTTTGTTCAGGATATCATTTCGTTTGGTATCGCTTTTTGTTTACAAAACTTTTTCCTAATGGTAAGATTAGAACAATTAATTTGATCAAGGCAAAGACATTGAGTTCGCAACCACTTTTTAAATCATTCACGAAGTTTAATAATAATCAATGAGACATACAATTAACCCAGAGATATGATATTAAGTATTTTCCTCTAGTTTGTAAGTGATTTACTGTCTTAAAATGGTCAACTGATTAGTTATCAAAAGTTATCTTTACTTGATTGTCATTAGCTATTTCAAACTCAAAGTCTTTGACTGTTTAATGATAATAATTTGCTGAATTAATCGAATCAATTACATGAAAAATTTATCATTAGGGTATTCAAATTGCATCTTATGTCCTTCTTATGGAGATCATGCCTTCCCCGTATCAATTTCAAGCGTCCGTTTATTATGTGGGCTTTTCGATAGTCTCATCGATGATTGTCCCTCTAATTATGTGGCTCATTTCTTCATGGAGATACATACAATTAGCTATTTCTGCTCCAGGGGTTGTATTTTTTGCTCACCTATGGTAAGAAAATCCTTTGTTATTTGATCGCTTAATATTTTCCAATAGCGACGAGTATGAATTATGATTGTGAGTTTCATTTTCTCCACTTGTTTAATTGTTGATAGGATTTTACCTCGATCGCCGTTGTGGTTAATCTCTGAGGGTAAAATGACCGAAACCGAAAATCTTATGGAAAATCTTGGTAAACAAAATGGTAAATCAATGCCTCCAAGTTTTAGATTACATTTGCAAAATTTTCTTAATCTAATCAAAAGTTGCGATGGTTTAAGTGGAAAACGACACAATATTTGGTCACAATTTTCATCGCCATCATTACGTTGGTACCTATTGGCTCATTTTTACCTTTTCTTTGTCACTTATTTATCACTAAATGTCACCGATTCTCAGGTATTGAGATTACATCAAACTAAACACACTGATTACTTTTATCGAGGTCTAATGGATCTCGGTGCTCTTACAATAATCTATCATATATCAATGAGGTTGGTAGTTAATTGTTCATACAAATTGGCTTTAATTGTTGATTATTAACATTCGGTTCTTGCTTATTTTCAATCAACCAGAATTGGACCAAGACCAATGCAATCAATCATCTTCATTCTAAGTGGACTCTTGATGATGATTGCGATTTCCATTGAAGAGCTTTTTCCAATTAACAATGAACAAAATGGTAAATTAACAATTAAACGATTAAACATTTTACTAATAATTTTCACTCTCTTCTTTTCACTAAATTGTTCTAATTAGGTTATAATTATCATATATTGTTGATTCCGTCAACTTTGGTTTCTGCAGCTCGAACCTTATTGATGACTTTACCCATTTTCATTTGGTATCATACAATTAAAACTTTACCAACGGGAATTAGGTAATAATTGATCTTGATCATTATATTTACGAAATTAGTTAAATGTTTAAATTAAAAAAAAAAGTTGATTAAAAATGAAAATGATTCTTTTTCTATAAGAATTGGAAAAAAAATTAAGGTCAAAATATATCGATGATTATTGATCGATTGTGGTTAAATTAGAACCTTAATTAGAGAAATTCAATCATCCGATTAATTACAATTGACTTTTCTTTTCAACTAAAAAATGTTTCTTCTCTTCAATTGATTGTCACCTTTTTTCCCTCTCTAATTGTTGTCAACAATTAAAGGGCAATTGGATTCGCTTGTTGTTTTGCTTGGGGAGTTGTTGGACAAATGTCGGCTCCTAATCTTTTAGTACTTGTAAGTGATATGTCATTGGAATAGTTAGTTGATTAACTAATTACTCTCTCTCTCTCTCTCTTTGTATTATTAGGCTGAATTAATTGCTCCTTTTATCCCGATTGGTTTGTGTGGATCTTTGTCCATGATCGCCGGTGGTTTGTCGCTTCTTTTCCCTGATTTCTGGCGAAAACCGCTACCAAACACTTTGTCGGATGTTGAGAATCGTTCATCACCACAGACAACAATTAGTCGATCATCAATCAGTGATGGATTCCGACAAATTAAAAGTCTAAACTCACAATATATCAAATCACCTTGTGAAATTGATCTTTGTACATCAATGGATCCAAAGACAGAGGCGAAACTAATTCTTGCACAAAATTTGAATCCGATCATCATCATCATCTTCATCATAATCATAAACAGCAACAATTACAATTTCAACACAATCAACAATATCATTTATCACAACAACAACAAATACAACAATTACCGTTGACACAAAGTGATTGTTATTACGATGATGGATTAACAACAAATCACCTTACCTATGGAGGTATAATCGATGTAAATTATGATAACTCTTCAACAATTAACAGACCAATGATGCACCCTGACATTGATAGAATCAATTGTATTCGCGATTCAATTGTTCTTAGTGAAACCCAAGGGTCACAATTAACTGAACTTGATGATATGGTTGTTGATAATGGTAATTGGCATTTATTTTCACCTTCAGATAATCATTTGTATTTACCTTCATCAACCTCTGGACAATTAACTTCAAATCTTATTGGTCATAATCGTAATGGTATAGTTGAAACTAATCGCTCTTTTCGTGATTTACAAATTTTTTCAAACAACGGACAAACTAATCAACACCATTCTAATCACACCAATCAACAAAATAGATCAACAGTTGATGAAGATGAAAATTCTGCTGTCATTATAATTGAAAATAGTGTTGCTCAAGTTTCCGAGACAAAACTCTGATTTCTATCAGATAATTGAACTTTTAAAGTTTCGATTTTTTTTATATGTAAATGCAAGTACATCAAACAACTAAATAAATAATGCAAATTAATCAACATGATTCTAATCACTATAATTGAAAATCGTGTTCAGTGAATTTTCACTCTCATCTTGCGAGCGTTGATTACTCCAGGTTTCATTCTTAAGGTCATTCTGGTCAGTTTGGTCTCATTGTAGACTCGAAGATAAAATTGGCCGTTCGATAAAGTGAAATCTTTTCTTTAGCCTCAGGGTGAAAGATAGTTCGCTATTCAATCAGATAATAAGCCATAAGATGAGCGGTAATAATTTAAATCTCGAAAAGTTACTTTAATCATTACTTTAAGCAGTAGGATAGAAAACAATAAAATAACCAATTAAAAAATAAAAGATTTACATGAACAATTTAAAATAATAGGATCTATTAGTTAGAAATTGATTCTAACCAAAGTTGATAAACGAAAATATTTTTTATCATAATTTGTGTTACTATTGATCAATTGTATTTACAGTAAATGACCAATTAACTGTGGTTGGTTAAAGTTATCGTACGGATTAACCTCTCCCTCGACAAGATTAGTTGTTTTTATGTTGTCGGGTGAAATTCTCGGTGATAATTCATGATATTCATGAGAATCAGATGTATCCTGTTGATTATTGATCGGTAGAGTGGAGATTGATATTTGTGGTACTCGTTGTCAAACTCGAGTTCGAACATCCAAAGAAGCGTAATGGTTTGATTCTGTTTCTGGTGGTATTAAATTGGTTGTTGAGATTCGGGAGAAAAAGAAACAGCTCACTCGGTTTAGTCTCTTTTCTTTATCTTCTCTTTCTTTTTTTCTCTTTCTATTTTGTTTCTTTTTCTTTTTCTTCTTCTTCATGAGTTCACAATTCAAATGAATAGAGTTTCAAATACTCTTTTGGGATTGGTAATCAATCGTAACAATCGATGATTAATTGAGTTTTCTTATTATGAATAATTGTGTTTATTATTTTCTGATGAAAATGATGAAACATTTTGGTGTTAAATTGGGAAAGGAAAAAATTACATTTGTTTTTTTTTTGCTTTTTCGAGTTTGAATGTTGTTGTTGTTGTTGTTGTGGTGGTGGTGACGATTTAAACAACGATACGAGGAGCGATTTGCATTGACATTAATTCTTGGAATAAAAGTTTACAAGCATAAGGTAGTCTGACTTGAGAGATTTGAGTTTTGTTGCGACAATTTTTACATTCGAATGTATTGTTACGGAGATTAGCGATACAGATTAGGCCACATAAGTTGCATACGTGAACTCGATATGGATCGGAAACCTCGAAAAGACGCTCTCTCAAAAATTGAGCTGCTCCATGAGCGATTTGACAATCACGTTCCATTTCACCGAAACGTAAACCTCCATCTCTTGCACGACCTTCCATCGGTTGTCGTACTAAAATTTGAACAGGACCTCGAGCTCGGGAATGAATCTTATCGTCTACCATGTGCTTAAGACGCTGATAATAAGTTGGTCCTAAGAAAATTTGAGCATTTACTTTACGACCAGTATAACCATTAAACATCACTTCGTAACCTCTTAAATGATAACCATATTCCTAAGAGAACCAAACAAAACAAAAATTATAAAATCATCTCTTGATGGAAAACGGAGAGACGAAATAAAATCTACACTTACGGCAAGAAGCTCGGAAATTTTTTGGACATTTACTGTATCGTTGAAAGGAGTTGCATCACCAATTTCCCCTTTATTGGCTGATACTTTTCCTTGGAGACATTCAATCAAGTGACCAATGGTCATACGAGATGGAATAGCGTGAGGATTGATAATAATATCTGGTGTAATACCTTCACAAGTGAAAGGCATGTCTTCTTGCCTGGAAAATAAATAATAAATTAGATTAGAATTGATTTTTTTCCTCAAATTGATCAACATTAAATTGTTCGTTATTTTTACCTGTAAGGAATACCACAAGTTCCCTTTTGTCCGTGACGAGAGGCAAATTTGTCACCAATTTGTGGTATTCTAACTGATCGTACTCTTATTTTACAAAATTTGTAACCATCGTTGTTAATTGTGATCATCACTTGATCAACAATACCGGTTTCACTATTACGAAGGAAAGTTGATGCATCTCTTTTAACAAACTTTTTGGTCGTTGCTTCGAGTTCATCTTCGTTTTCAGGTAATAAAACTGTTTTGCCGATGATAACATCGTCACCTGACACTCTGCTACCTGGGGCAATTATACCATCATCTTCAAGTTTATCATAAATTGCATTACGCATATTTTGACATGTATCACGACTTGGCCTTTCAAATTGTTCTTCTTGATCACCAAGTCTTTTTAACTCGGCATCTTTGTAAGATCGATAGAAAACAGATCTAAAGAAACCACGATCGATGGCTGATGAATTTAAAATAACGGAATCTTCTTGATTGTATCCAGTGTAGGACATGATGGCGACAATTGAATTAATTCCAGCAGGTAATTCTCTGAAACGTAAATACTCCATGGATCTAGTGGTGACCAATGGTTTTTGTGGATAATAAAGTACATGGGCTAAAGTGTCCATACGAACATGAAAATTGGTAATATAAACACCCATGGCTTGTTTACCCATAGCAGATTGATAAGTGTTACGAGGTGATTGGTTGTGATCGGGAAAGGGAATGATGGAAGCACAAACACCAAGAATCATGGACGGATGAATTTCACAATGGGTATAAGTTGAACAATAGGCCATTTCAATGTCTTGTAAATCATCAGGTGTCATGGCAATCATGACGGTTTCCTCTTCTGATGTGTCAATATATTCAACGACACCACTTCCAACCAGATCACCCCAACTGTAATTATTGTATTCTCTTTCTTTCAACATGTCAATGTGACTCTTTTTGAGTAAAAGTTTCTGATTTTCGACAATCAGTAAAGGTCGACAAATTCGACCCGCGTCGGTAAAAATTCTAATCTCTCTGTCACGAATATCACGAACCATAGATACTTCTGATACAACGATGTCCATTTGACGACGAAGTTTCCTGAGAGTTGCCATAAGTAGATCGGGTTCACGATGAATTCCAACCCAACAACCATTTACAAAGATTTTCGTTGCATCAGCAATAGTTGAAGGAGCAGTTTCTTCAAGATTTTCCATACTCCATTCCTCCAAGAATTCAAGAATTGGAGATGGATTTGAACCAACGGAAATGTAAGCCATAAGAGCTAAATTTTTGACTAAACCGACAGCATGACCTTCGGGAGTTTCAGCGGGACAAATCATACCCCATAAAGTGTTATGAAGTTGACGAGGTTTAGCTAATTTACCATCACGACCAATTGGTGAATTGACACGACGAAGATGGGATAAAGTTGAAGCGTAGGTTAATCTGTTAAGAACTTGTGAAACACCGGCACGAGCTTGATGAGCTTTCTTTTGATCACCCCAATTACCGGTAGCCAGGGAGTATCTTAATCCATCAGAAATTATTCTTGTTTTAATCGCAAGATCAAGATTAAAATCTTTTCCACTGTCGATGAATTTCTGAGCATACATTCGTACTTCTTTTGTCAAATTTCTGAAAAGTCCACGGAAAAGGTAAGCCATCAATGGACCAGCTAAATCAAGCCTTTTATTACCATAATGATCTCTGTCATCTAGTTCACGACGACCCAAAGCCGCAACCAAAAGTCGATGTACCATATAACCAAGATAATAAGCTTTCTTTGTCTCACAATAATCACTTATACCAACATGAGGTAACATTTCTTTCTGTAAAATTTCTTTGGCATATTTGATTCTTTTCTCTTTGGTAACACCAGGCCTTGCACCTCTAACACCGATGAAATTGAGAGCAACATTTTGCTCTTGCACAACGAAAGCTTCGTCTAGTGAAGGTTTAACCATTTCCATGATTTCGGGATCTTCAAAATCGTAAACAATATGTTCTAAAATATCTCGATCAGCGACAAAACCAAGAGCACGGAAAACAATCATAATTGGAATCTCTTGTTTGATGTAGGGAATAATGGCAATGATTCGTTGTCCAATCGCAGTTTTTTTAGTTCCATGACTTCCTCTGGAAAGCATATTAACCCAAAGTGTACTTGTTGGTCGAGATGAGTGTTCAATACAAGAACGACATTCAGCTTTATAGGCATATTTTGAGTCTTTCATACTAAAAACATATACAGAATTAGTTGCCATCTTTTCCTGGGCAATTAAAACCTTTTCAGATCCATTGATGATGAAATATCCACCAGGATCAAGTGGACATTCATTTAGTTCAGTTAAATCACGATCAGTTAAACCATACAAGTAGCAAGATTTTGATCGTAACATGACTGGAATTTTACCAATAAATGTTTTCTGATGTTGAGTTTCAACTGGTTCCTGACCTTCCTTGATAACTGTTTTGGTGACATCAACATAAAGAGGAGCAGCATAAGTTAAATTACGTAGTCTTGCTTCATTAGGTAACATAGGAGCTGGTGCACCATCTTTTTCCCAATGAGTAGGTTTGGATAAGTAAAGTTGCTCAAATTTCAACACATATCTTGGAGGATTTTCAACTTCACCAGAAGCATGTTGAGCTTCAGCCTGTAGACATAAAAGAAAATGACACATTTAATCAAAGAAAATAACACAGCAACAAAAAAAAATCAATAAACGTCAAGAAAAATACCTGTAATTCAATGAGAGCTGAATCTTCAACAATCTTCTGCACCGACATATCAATAAACTCATCGAAAGAGTCCAATTGTTGTCTAACCAAACCTTTCTCATCGAAATATGAACTAATCACAACCCAACAAGCTTCTTGCCATAAATCTGGTGCGATTTCGGCATTATCCCCTTCATCAAACATATCACCCTCATCATCCATAATGATGAATTTGCCAGTTTAACACCAGACACACACAAACACAAATAAGAATAGAAAAAAAAAATTAAAACCAACAACACCAGCAAATAAAATCACCTCCTAAAGACACAACAAACCATAGAAGAAAATAAAATAACAATAATCCAATACCAGGACACTAAGAAGATTATGTTAATAACAATTTAAGAATAAAAAATGAAACAGAAACAATTAATTAATCATCTAAATCAATGAGAAAGAGAAAAGTAAACAATCAAATGCAAGATTGGAAAAAGACTCACACCAAGTGAAAAAAAAAGCTCCACATTCTTACCGCCATTTTTGAAATTCTATCGAAATGATCGCAAGTATCCGATAGAATATCGACTGTTTTCGAGTCCGAACCTCAGATTCGGATCTTAGTATAAAAAGAAAAAAGGAAAACAATAAGGTCAATAGATGGCAGTTCTCGTGTGGTGATTCAAGTGCTTAATGTTGTGACAAATGTTTGTGTTATTTTGATTTTATTTTCTCTCTCTTTCTATCTTCTCAGGTTATAATATAATATAATTCTCTCTTGTTATTACATTCGCCATCTCCATTGGTATTTAAAACGCGAAACAAATTGTAATAGTAATAGATTTAAATTATTAGTTTAAAAATTGAAAATTTTCTACTATTGGAAACAAAGAGAAAATAAATTCTATTCTAAATTTCTAAATTATGGCTTGTCTTATAACATTGAAAAAAGATTTAAGACGTTTAGAGACCATTTTTCCTAAAGATCATGAACGATTTCAGTTAATGAACGCCACAGTCGATGAATTAACATGTACATTTATTGGCAGAAATGGTAAAAAATATGAGATTCACGCAAATTTTACGGTAAGCCTTTCATTTTATTTCTAATTTTTCCCTTTGTCTTCATCATTTTCTCTTGCTTTTTTTCTTTCTCCTTTCTATCTTTCTCTCTCTTTCTCTCTCTCTCTCTCTCTCTCTCTCTCTCTGTTGTATGTGTGTCTTTTTTTTATATTTCTTTCATTTTTTTTCTTCACCTTTTCCTCTGTCCACTTGTGCTTCTCCTTCTTCACCTTTTTCTCTTTACATCAAGTGTGTTGTCCTTTTGACTTTTTTGTCCACATTAAACGTAGTCTATATTGGAAAATAGCACTTGATTTTAAAGTACAATATTCCAAGATTTAATATTTTAAAGTCTCTCTCTCTCTTTCCTTTCTTTCTTTTCTCTGTGAGTGTGTATTTTGTTTCCTTTTGCTTCTGCTACTCCTCTTTCTTTCCTTTCCTTTCTTTCCTCTTATTTCACAATCTTGCTCTTTTTTTGATTTTATTTTCTTCTCTATCTCTATCTTACTTTGCTTCCCTCTTTCCTCTTTCTCACTCTCTCTTTCTCTCTTTCTTTCATCTCTCTTTAATCCTCTCTATTTTCTCTGTTTTTCCACTTCTCTCTGTATCTTTTTTGTTGTTATTCCCCTTGTGCATCTCTTGTCCATTTTTTTCTTATATAAATTTCATTTCACGGCCTTATCATCTTATTTCTTTCTTTCTCTTTCTCTTTCTTTTATTCTCTCTTACTTTTTATTCTCTTTCTCTAATCCTACTTTTTTTTCTTTCTTTTCTCTCTTTGTTCTGTTCTACAGGAAACCTATCCAGAGGCACCACCAGTTTGGTTCTCCGAGGTTGAAGACGAAAGTATCAGTAATATCGTACAATATTTGAGCAACACAAATGGTGTTGAAAATTACGTATGTGTTATCATATTTTTAATTCGATGTGTTCAATGTTGTTATCTGTGTGTGAATGTTGCGTATTTTTGTTCTTAATCTTCATCAATGGACTTTCACTTAGTAATTGATTTTTCTTCTCCTTCAATCTTCTTCTTCTTCTCTATATTCTTTTGGTTTCGTTTTCTTTAACTCCCGCTTTATCCCCGCCAATCTATAGATTCTACAACAGGTAAAAGTTCTCGTTCGTGAATTATGCAAAGATCACAATCTTCCAGAACCAACCGAACTGGGTCAACTTTGTGATGTGTCAACACCATTGATTAACGGTGCTTTACAATGTTCAAATTCACGTTCTTCTTTTGCCACCGAGAATAGTGGTGATTCGGGTTATATTAATGATAATGATGAAGTAAATCAGGCAAATGTCAATAATCATCCATCCTCTGATACTGAGGAAGATTCAGATATGGAAGATGAAGATTTACCAATAGAAATGGAAGAAGATGCCAGCAATGCAGATAAGTCAAAAGATGACGGGTTAAGCCATGAACACACAGCAACACTTGAAAGACTCAAGCAAAATCAACGGGAAGGCTATTTGAGAGGTGCAGTTAGTGGATCTGTACAAGCATCCGATAGATTAATGAAAGAATTGAGAGAAGTTTATCGATCAGAAAGCTTTAAGAAAGGTGTATTTTGTGTTGAATTGATCAACGATTCCCTTTACGAGTGGAATGTCAAATTATTTATTGTAGATCCAGATAGTCCTTTGCATAATGATCTGAGAATATTGAAAGAAAAAGAGGGAAAAGATCACATTTTATTGAACATTTTATTCAAGGAAACTTATCCTTTCGAACCACCATTTGTTCGTGTTGTTCATCCCATGATTCAAGGTGGTTATGTGCTTTGCGGTGGAGCGATTTGTATGGAACTACTAACGAAACAGGTAACACTTGA